CCTGGTCCCCTCGAGGTACTAAATGCTTGATCTAAATCTTGATACAATCAATAGAGCTGGCCAAATTCTTTCTAAATTAGGAGTTTTCCAATTAAAAGTGCTGATTCAACAACACAGAAATACTTTGAGAGATCACATCAGTAAGAGAGCATATCAATTTTGTTTACATTTTCAACAATCATTCTTTCATAGAATCATAGAAAATGAGGGTTGGAAGGGACCTCAGGAGGTCATCTAGTTCAAGCCCCGCAAAGCAGGACCAGCCCTGACTATATCATACTAGCTTAGGCGTTGTCTACGTGAGTGTTAAAAACCTCTAAGGATGGAGATTCCACAATCTCTCTGGGTAACCCATTCCAGTGCTTTACTAGCCTCCTCATGAGAGAGTTTTTCCCAATATCTGACCTAAACCTTCCTTGCTGCAACTTTACATCATTGTTCTGTCATCTGCCACCACTGAAACAGTCTAGCTCCATCTTCTTTGTAACCACCCTTCAGGTAGTTGAAGGCTGTTATTAAATCCCCTCTGTCTTCTCTCCTGCAGACTAAATAAGACCAGTTCCCTCACCTCTTCTCATAAGTCATGTTCCCCAGCCCTCTAATCATTTTTGTTGCCCTCGACTGAACTCCCTCTGATTTGTCCATATCCTTTCTGTAGTGGGGAGCCCAAAACTGAACACAGTACTCCAGATGTGGCCTCACCACTGCCAAATAGAGGAGAATAATTACTTCCCTTGTCCTGCTGGCAGCTTTCCTACTAATGCAGCATCATATACTGTTAGCCTCCTTGGTAACGAGGACACAGTGTTGACTCATGTTCAGCTTTTTGTCCACTGTAACCCCTAGGTCCTTTTCTGCAGAGCTGCTGCTTAGCCAGTGAGTCCCCAGCCTGCTCTGGTGCATGGAATTGTTTCTAAATGCAGGACTTTGCACTTGTCCTTATTGAACTTCATGACTTTTCATTTGGTCCAATCCTCCAATTTATTGATGTCTCTCTGAATCCTAGCCCTGCCTTTCAGCGTATCTGCTACTCCCCCCCCACAGCTTGGAGTCATCTGCATACTTGCTGAGGGTGCAAACTACCCCATCTTTTGGATTATTGATGAAATATTGAACAAAACTGGTCTTAGGACCAACACCTGGGGCACTCCATTGGATGACAGCTGCCAACTAGACATTGAGCCTTTGATTACTACCCTTTGAGCCCAACAATCTGGCCAATTTTCTATCTACCTTACAGCCCATTCTTTCAACCTGTACTTCCTTAGTTTGCCTGTGAGAATGTTTTGGGAGACCATATCAAAAGTCTTGCTAAAGTCAAGGTATATTACATCCACTATTCTCTCACATGCACAGAGCAAATCATCTCATCGTACAAGGCAATCAAGTTGGTCAGGCATGACTTGCCATTGGTGAATCCATGCTGACTGTTCCTAACTGCCTTCTCCTCCAAGTGCTTAGAAATGGATTCCTTGAGGATCTGCTCCATGATTTTTCCAGGGACTGAGGTGAGGCTGACTAGTTTGCAGTTCCCCAGATCCTCCTCCTTCCCTTTCTTCATAGTTTCATAGTTTCATAGTTGGTAGGGTCAGAAGGGACCTGAGGAGATCATCTAGTCCGACCCCCTGCCATGGCAGGAAAGAGTACTGGGGTCAAACGACCCTGGCCAGGTGTTTGTCCAGCCTTTTTTTAAAGCCCCCCAGGGTAGGAGCCAGCACCACTTCTTTTGGAAGTTGGTTCCAGGTCCTAGCCGCCCTGACAGTGAAGTAGCGCCTCCTAATGTCTAGCCTGAAACTAGCCTCTGCTAGCTTGTGTCCGTTGTTTCTTGCAACTCCCAGGAGTGCTCGGGGGAACAGGGACTCTCCAATGCCTGCTGGTCCCCCTTGACTAGTTTGTAGACTGCCGCTAGATCCCCTCTCAGCCTTCTCTTTTGGAGGCTGAACAGGTTCAGGTCCCTCAGCCTGTCCTTGTAGGGCCTGCCCTGCTGCCCCCTGGTCATGCGGGTGGCCCTTCTTTGGACCCTCTCCATATTGGCCACATCCCTCCTGAAGCGCGATGCCCAGAACTGAATGCAGTACTCCAACTGCGGCCTGACCAGTGTCGCATAGAGGGGGAGGATCACCTCCTTGGACCTGCTTGAGATGCACCTGTAGATGCACAACAAGGTATGGTTGGCCTTCCTGACCGCGTCCCCACTTTGTCGGCCTATGTTCATTGTGGCATCAATGATGACTCCAAGATCCTTTTCTGTCTCAACACTGGCGAGAAGTGAGTCCCCCAGCCTCTAGGTGTGCCGCTTGTTCTTCCTCCCCAGGTGCAGTACCCTGCACTTGTCAGTGTTGAACCCCATCCTGTTCTCAACGGCCCACCCCTGTAACCTGTCTAGATCCACTTGCAGCCTGTTCCTTCCTACTAGCATACCCACTTCACCCCACATCTTAGTGTCATCTGCGAATTTGAACAGGGTGCTTTCTACCCCCTCGCCCAAGTCACTGATGAAGATGTTGAATAGTGCGGGCTCAAGGACCGAACCCTGGGGGGAACCCCACTACCCACATCCCTCCAGGTCGAATAAGACCTGCCCACCACCACCCTCTGGGTGTGGCCCTCCAGCCAGGT